TATATATTTAATTAAACAAGTAATTTAATTCTTAAATTTTTTATTTATAAGTTCTTTCATATATATATATATATAATTAATGATTTATATTATAATATAATTATTAATTTATAATTAAATTTATTTAAAATGTATAAGTAAATTAAAATTAAAAAAAAATATGATGGGTTTCTATAGATCTACTCAAACTCAACAAAACTCTATGGAGATGGAGATGGGTTTTAAAAATATAAACATTATTTTTTAAAACTTGAATCTGAATTCAAACCTGTCTCGTCTTTTACTAGATGAGGATGGAGAGAACAAAACTCGTCCCCAATTCCTCTTGTTGTCATTGCTACATATAATTTATAATTTATAAGTTTATATATTAAACAAACTTATTTTTTTGTTAAACTAGTTTATAAACCCTTTAAATATTTTGATAAATACATTTATAATATATAATTACGATATTATTTTTGTGACTATATTATACTATCACAACATCTATTACATTTTAAATTTATCTCCTTTTTCTTTATTAGTTAGACAAAATATTGCATAATTTACTAAACAAATATCGTTTTTCCTGTTTTTATTTCACATGTAAGTAGTAATACCATACATTTTACTTATTTAAAATAAAAGTTGCCTAAAGATGTTTCAAATCAAAATTAAGTGTACCTTTGGATTGGTGGTGAGTTTAGATTACCATCATTTTCGAAGCAGCAAATATCTTTTGTTTAGATAAATTTTTTTGCAAACACTTTTAAGATAGGAAAAAATAAGAAAAAATGAATAAACTTATCTTTAAATTAAAACTAACTTATATATAAATAACAAAAATTAAATAAGTTAATAAAATAGAGGTTATGCAAATTAATTTATGCATGAATTAATTTTAACTTGTGAAAAAAATTATTTATTTTCTTTCTTATTTTTTCTCCAAAAAGAATTCTTCTAACAAAAATTATTAATAGACTCAGAATTACTTTTATGGTAAATTCAACATAATTTTATCTAATTGTTTGCTTCTGAAAAATCAGGGAGTTTAACTCACAACCAGCCCCTTGAAATACTAATTCTAGGCTCAAAATATATTCTTTAAAGTGAAACTAATTAACATATAAACATTTATCTAAAGTTATGTTAGATGATATTTTAACCTGATTTTAGATTATTTAACGTGAATATGGACAAACTATTTTATTAGCATTAAATGTTAATTAATTAAAAGTTATTTTAATTATTTTTAAAATAATTACTATATTTTTTATATTATCATTTGATCGTGATAATTATTCAAAATAATTTCCGAAACTCATTTCCACGGATTAAAAAATTTCTAAATACATAATTTTAATTAATTGATAACATAAAATCTTATGTTTTTTAATATATTAAATAT